TAAATAAATAATTAATTAACATTTTGTAGATATAAAATATCACTGCATATGCAGTATTACCATTAGATTATTAAGAATTATTAGACAAATTAAAATCAAAATTTATTTAATCAAATAATTGTTATAAAAAATGATTTCTAAATTACATTGTACATTTTTATATATTTGTATTAGAAATTTGTGTTATAATAAATATTTATATGTTATATAATTAGGAAATATGTATATATATATATATATATATCTTTATCATATTCTTTCTCCATTCATCCCATTCGTGACCATCAGAGTACAAAAAATTAGAACCAAGATCATGTCAGCAAATCTAGGACAAGCCAGAGAATGAACAAACAGTATAGTATTCCTCCTTCAAAGAAGACAGTCATACCAAATAATAATTATCGTAAGCAAGTAATACATACATATATATATATATATGTATATATATATTTATAGATATAGACGATAGTGCATGTATATAAACAGTACCTGAAAATGCATGGCTGGGCTTAATTTTACTCTCAACACAGCCAGCACAGTCTCCATTCCCCACAACCTCAACTACCACCTTCTTATCACTTGCATGGCAGAAGACAGAGACAAAAAGTAAACCCAGAAAAAAACACAGTAGTGCTCCTCGGCAAACGGGGAGGACAAACTGCATTTTGCAAATTCCAAGACACCCGATTAGATCAGAAACCATACAACACACTCGGTCATTATATAACACACATATATATATATGCAGTATTAAACCCACACCGACACCGAAGTTAAGAGCTTCACATGAGGGTTTGGGGCCCCCCCCCAATACATGAGCTGTAGAGGGAGGAGAGAAGGGGTTTGAAAAAGATGGTAACGTGCGCACCGGCTGGGCAAAACGGCATTCAATGACTTCTCAACTACTACTCATCTAAATCTTTCTTCTGTATATATGTATATATATATATATATATTATATAATCATTATTGTTATCATCGTCATCATCATCTTTTTCTCTCCCTTAAACCTACTTACCAGCTCTTGTAATAAATACTCTTACTTTTTAACAATTGGGAGTTGAATCACAGCAGATGTTCATGCTTCTTTTTGGAGTATTACTTGTAAAGAAGTAATTTCAGGCCTCAGAATATATATAAATGTGTGTGTATATATGTATGTACATTTTCGGCGTTTATCTTAGATAATTGAGCCACATATAGATATAGAGCTCCAATTTTTCTCGTGAATCAACGTCTAATATGCCATGGAACTTAATATATATCAGAATTCAATACACATATACAGACGTGTAACATTTGCATGCACATACACGTATATGTGTCTGTGTGTAAACGTATATTTCACTGATTCTCTTCTTTCATGATCCCAAAATTTACCAATAATTAATTAGTTAATACTACATGCATGATTTAGAGGGTTTTGATTATTATAAGCAATCATATTTTCACCTAATTTTCCGGCGTGTATGTATATTGTATGTAAATGCACATTTGGCTTAGCAGACAGGCTGCGTGTATGCATATATATATATATATATACATATAATAATATTCAGATTTCATATATAATTTATAATTTGCATTCATATAATTCAAAA